CGGGCCCTGTTTTCACGCACTCTCCGCTGATAGTGCGCGCCCCTCGGCGCTCCTGCCCCGGACTCCGTCGACTTCAGCGACCTCATCAACTTTTCCGACGACGCAATCTATTCCGGCTTGGCCGATCTCCCGGTCAGCCACTTGGTGAGGATCAACACGCTGGTGTCCGAAGTCACGTCCGACCAATTTTACGCGCTGTCAAGCTTGACCCAGCTTGACATCGAGACCCCGACCGGGCAGTTGCAGATGTCCGGCCCGCCCCCGGACCGCGGCCAGTACCCACCAATGCCGTTCCGCCCTTCGCCCGCCCCCCGGCCCTCACGGACACCTCGTCCATCCCGCCCGGCACACCGCTTGTCCACAGCGACCCGTCCCGTGACGACGAGGAGCCGGAGTTCGACCCGAACGCCAGCTGACCCCCCGCCGCTCCGCCACCGGCCCCTGCATGGTGCCGGTCCGAAGGCTGGAAACGACTTTGTATTTTCCTCCCCGCCTCCCCCGGCTACTGCACCCACGATTGCCCGGCCCGAGGTCCGCGCTGTCTCCGCATCTGCCTCCGCCCCGTGATGCTCTACAGCCGCACCGAGCATACGGGCCACAAGTGCCCATACTGCCTGGCCGACGGGTTGTAATCGCTCCGGCCGCCCGGCCCGCATAGCCTTTGCATGTCTAGCATAAGATGTTTATGATTCGCCCCGGCCTCGGCATTTACTTCCCGTCCCGCCTTGATTCATATTGTTTCTGACCGCTGGTCCGCGTGCACCCGCCGCCCTGCCAGCCCGCAAAAAATCCAACTGTTGCATGCAACTGCTTGTCTGATGGTAGCTGCGTTTGCCACCGCCCCCCTGACCAGGCTCGGCTCGACTCTGACGTCATCCAGGTTGCGGTCTGCTCTCCTGTGCCATTGCCTTTGTGAGTTTACTTGCTGTCCTGTCAGGCGCGTGCTCCCTGTTCTCGGCCGGGCGGTGTGGCGCCGGCATTTCCGCCGCCCCGCTCTCCATCCCCACGGCGGTTGGATTTCTTGGGGGATTCTTGCCTTTCACCGGCTGTGTCCCCGGCTCTTGCCCCGTCGGTTGCGTCCCCTCCAACATCTGAAATGAGCCCCGCCTCTTCCTCCAGCCATTCCTTCGTGGTTGTGCCGCCTGGTCCTGGACCCCCGGCCCCTGACCCCGTGCCTATGGACTTGCAAGGTCTGGACTGCATCGTGGTCCCTGCTTTCCCTTGTGCACCGGCCCTGCTGGACTTGAGTTGTTGCCCGACCTATTCGTTCTCGGGCATCCGCGCCCCGGCCCCTTTCTTCCTCACCTCTGGCCGCTCCGCCTGTGCCTATGCGTTCCCCGGCCCCGGTGTTTCCGTGTGGTCCCTCTCTTCTTTCTGCCCCGGCTCCGGCCTTGGTGCCCCGCCGCTGCTCTGGGCCTCCTGCGCACAGGTCCGCGAATTCCCCTCAGGTGAATGCATTTGGCGATGCCGCCCGCGCAGCTCCTTTTGTGCACAGCGGTTTCTTTCCTGTTTCCAACTCTGACGCCGAGGCTTCCTCTATGGCTTCTGAGGCCGGCCGCGCCCTTGCACATTACCGTGGTCTGTTCTGTCCGAGTTGGGCGATAGCAGCACGCTGTTCCTGCACACCAAGGCTGTTCCGAATCCGCGTGAACTCCGCGCCCGTGCTATTGCCAAGAATGCGCCTAGCACTCTGCAGCTCTACTTGCGATCGTGGTCCGGCTGGGTTTCTCATGCAACGCGTTCTAGCTTCGATCCGGCCGACCCTCCACCGGGCTCCGTAATTGACATCCGCACCGTCCGGCCTCTCTACCTCGTCTTTCAAGGCACTCAGCTGGATGGCACGTGTGGCGGGTCTCCCTTCCCTGCACTCGCAATTGCAGACCCCGCTCTGCACTGCATTCTTGACGGCTACCGGTCCTGTGGAGAAGCGCGAGGCGCTGCCCTTCTCCGTGTCTTTTGTGGCTTGGCTGGAGCGCCGCATTATGGATCCGTCCTGCCCGATCCCCGAATGCATTGTGATTGGTTCCGTTCTCTGCCTCATCTGGGCTTCGCTCCGGTGGAACGACGGCCTGTGGTCTCCTCCGTCCCGTGTGGTGTTGCAGGCCGGCTCGCTCTCCGCACTCGCCACCCGTACCAAGAGCTGCCGCGCCTCCATGCCCTGGGGGTGTCAGCTCCTGGGTTTGACCGGCACGTCCGCCTCGTGTTGGGGGATCTCTTGGCTGAATGCCCTTCAGCAGTGCGTCGCGGATACATCCCGGCTTTTCCCGGCCCGCGTGGTGGATTTCTTGCTTCCGGTCTTGTCGCACATCCGGCTTTCGTGGCGCCCCTGCACCGTTCCCGTGCCATGCCTTGGCTCCGGTCCCTTCTTCAGGAGCACTGGCGTTTGCACTCCGACCTGCCGCCCCCATCCGAGCACACACTCTATGGGGTTCATTCCTGCAAGGCCACCGTCCTGTCTTGGGCTCGACAACTCCACCTCGATCCGGAACTCCGTCGTCTGCAAGGCCACCGCCGCCCCTCGACCATGGAAGGTTCCGTCCGGGTATATAGCCGCGATGATATCGGCCCGATGCTGAAGCTCCAGGCCGACATTATTAACAAGATTCGCTCGGGATACCGTCCGCTTCAGCCGGTGGCCCGTGGCTCGTCCAATCCTTTGCCTGACTTTCGCGTGTGCTTACCTCCCCCCGACCGATCCATGCCTGGTGTGGCTCCTGGGGAATCTTCTGCTCCACTTCGTCCGTTGTCTTCCGCCCCCGCAGAAGCCGACGGGAGTTCTGACACCGACCTTTCTGCTGACAGTTCTGACTCCGACTGCTCGGCCGCGTCCGCCTCTGATCCGGAGCCGACCTCTGCTGTGAAGGCCCCTCGGCCCGCACCGTCCGCTCCCCCCTGAAACCTTTCCTTCACAACCTGCGCAGCAATGTCTTGCGCCGCCCCGTGGCCTGTTCTGAGGGGGATGCGCGCTCCGTTCGGATTCAGCTTTCGGGGTTGGAGGTTTTCTGGGTCAGGCCTGCTTGCTGGGCCTCCGTGGGCCAGCTGAGCTCGGACACATGGTGTCCCGTGCCGCCGGCTGGGGCTCAACACTAGCTGTCTCCGCCGTGCCTGCCAGGATAGCTGGTCGGCCTGCCAGTTTTGCTCACTCTTGCTCGTCCGCAGCCATTTTCCCAAGCTTTTCTAGGCCTCTCTCTCTTGCCGCCATGTCCGGCCGTGGGTACCGCCGTGGTGGCTCCTATGCGGCTGCTCCCGGCCCTGCGCCCGCTGTGGCTGACCGGCCCGGCCCGGACCTGACCCAGCTGGAAGAGGTCACGGATGAGGAGCTTTTGGCGCTCCTTCGGCAATGTTCCGCCGGCCTTTTGGCGCGCGTTATCCGCTTGTGCTCTGCCATCTTGCGCCCGCGCCGCATGGAGATATACTGCCAACTGCCGTGTGCAAACCCAGAGTGCCCGAACGCGTGTGGGCGTCGTGTCGATCCGACCCGCCAGCGCGCTCACACAAATCATGCCTGCCGTGTTTGTCACCGCTTCGGCTGGTGATCGCCGGCCCGCTTGTGAGCTGACTTGCTGGCCCAGTTCCGTCCCGACCCGGTTCCGGTCGGCGACCTGCCCGCGCCGTATTCTATACTTCTGGCGTTGGGCTGGAATTTTTGTTACCGACAGCTTGCAGCCGCTGTGAAAACGTTCCGCATATGCTGGCCCTCTGGACAGATTGCTCTTGCATCTCCGTTGATCTGCCACTGCCTGTGTGGGTCGGATTCCTGCTTGTCCGCAGCCATTTCTGCTTCAGCGCTTGCAGGTAGTCTGTCTCTTTCGCCGACGGAATGACTTCGTCCGTTCCGGCGTTCGATGACCCATCTGCTCTCGCGGCTCTTCCGAAGAAGTGGTCCGCCCCGGATGACTTGCATGAAGTGCTCACGCAAAAAGGTTTCAAGACCATTGCGTCCGTGGCGTTTGCAATCCCGGCACAGGGCAGCCCGGACGACTTTCTCCGTGTTCTGTGGCCTCCGGCCGATCCGTCCGACACGACGGCCCTGGTCACCCCGTCCGCATCTTTTGCTCGTCGCTTGCTGGTGCAGTCCCGTGCCCTGATCCACCCGAGTGGTCCGGCACCGGCGACCCCTGCTTCAACCCAGCCCGACCCTAGCCCCACCCCTAAGGTTACAGCCGAGACTGCTGAGACGCTCCGCCAGAAACTCATGGAAAACTACCCTGGGGAGATCCTGTCACCGGCCAATACCCCCAGCGTTGAGTTTCTGAGCCGCCTCCGTTCCGAGCTGGATAAGCCCACCACGTTGTGGGTGCCGTGGCGCTTCCGCGCGTCCGAGCAAGACTTGCAGAATTTTTATGATACGCGCCGCCCCCCGCACCGATGGGCAGATCCTGCGCCACATTTTGGATGGCGTTCCTGAGCCGGTGACGGCGCAGACCACCGCCAATGGTGTCCGGTCCGGTCGAGCCGGCCCTCCGTCGACACTGCGGCTTGCTGGTGACTGCACTCGCGTTCCTCGGCGACTTGCACGTGCGGCCCGGGAAGACCTTCATGGAGGCGTTTATCAACACGGCCACGGCCGCACCGCTGGATTCCACGCTCCGGCCGCCCTCCCTGCAGGAGGCTCTGTCTGCTGAATGCGGGATGAAAAGTGGTCCCGATGCCCTGCACGAGGTGTCCGTCACGCGTCACATGCTTCCGACTTTGTTATGCGCCCGTCCCAGGACCATGTCCGCCGTGGCTCTGGGGCTGCCTCTTCCACCGATCGGCCTGACCCTCCGGGGGACCGCCCGCCCAAGAAGCCTCGCAAGGAGACGCCTACCGGTGGCAAGCCGAAGGCCGCACCCAAAGGTGCTGCCACCGCGCCCGGCAAGAAACCCGTCTCCGAATTGTGGGATCCGTCCTGGGCGAACGAAGATGAATCCGGCCGGGAAATTTGCAAGCGCTTTGTACTGGGAAGGTGTAAGCTCTCGTCCTGCAAATTTTCCCACACGTGTCCGATCATGATGCCGTCCGGCAAGCCGTGTGGGCAGAAACACACGGCTGCGAAGCACATGAAGACGGCTCACTGATTGCCTTCGGTTCCGCCTGCCGGCCCCGCAGCTCTTCCTTCTGGCCCGCCTGCCATGGTTCCCGAATCGATTCCAGATGACGCCTGCTCTGTTTCATCTTCCGATTCCGTGGAGATGATTCCTCAGACTGATGGCGATTCGGTGCCTGTTTCCAGTACCGACTCATCTCGCATGGACCGGTCTAGGTCCCCGCGCCGTCCTGTGTTGCGGTTTTCTTGGTCTTTTGCGCCACCTTCTGTGCCTTTTCGCAGAGGGGCGCTTACCCACCCGTGTGCTCCGGCTCCCGCGGGCACGGCTCCACCCGCGGTTGAGTCGACCCTGCCTTCGCCACCGGCTCCGGTCTCCCCTCAATTGGTATTGGCCGCGCCTCCTGCCGTGCATTCCGCACCCCTCCCTGGCCTCTGCACTCCCTGCCCGGAAGGTGATGCCTCCCCTGGACTTTTCCTGGACTTGTTCTCTGGGGCATCCGCTCCGCTGTCTTCCGCCATTGCCAAGCTTGGGGGCGACCGTATTGCTCCCATTGATTCACTGCGTGGCGAGCAGGTTGACTTGTGCTGCCCGCGCCACCAGAATTCTCTGCGCCGCCTGTGTTCATCCGGCCTGATTCGAGTCGTCTGTGCCGCCCCACCGTGTGCTAGCTTCAGTCGGTCTCGTCTTCGGCCTGGGGGTCCCCCTGCCGTCCGTACCCCTACGCACCCGGGGAGGATCCCCCATCCTTCTCGCAAGCAGCAGGCTGAGCTATCTCTCGCCGATGCCTTGCATGCATTCACGCGTGAACTCCTTTCTCTGGTTTTGCTACAAGGTGGGATTGTGGTTCTCGAGAATCCGACGTCCAGTTTGCTCTGGCTCACGTCCGAATGCCAGCATTGGATCCGCCATCATGCACTTTCTGCCACACAGGTTGCTGCATGCGTGCATGGCCTTTCCGCCCAAAAATCATGGACGTTTGTTTCGAACTTGTCCGACCTATCAGCTCTGGCTGCACTGTGCCCGCGCCGCCCGGGATTCCATCCGGCCCTTTCCGGTCGTCGTGACTCTGCTGGCCAATTCCTAACTAGACACACTGCTTGTTACCCGGCATCACTTTGTGCGGACTTGGCATCTGTTCTTGTTCCGTTCCTTTCTCGCGACAACCGCGTGGTCTCATTTGTTGGTTGGGAAGCCGCTTTGCTTCCTGATCGTGCCCCTTGGCCCGTCCCACCGTCCCGGGTCGAAGATGGTGCGGGAGCCGTGTCGACAGCGTCCTGGGCGGTTCCGTCGGGACCCAACTGCTTTGCGTCACTCCGCAAGCTCTGGACTTCGCGGATACTTTCCGGTGACTTCCTCGCCAAGTTCCGAGCCAATGTCGCTTCCGGTTCCAAAAGTCCTCCGATCTCCGAGCCTGATTTGGCTCCTTTCCTTTCGGACTTATGCTCCTGCCTGGGCCTCTCTGATGCGGACTTCCAATTGCTGCTGCGCGTTCCGCCCGGCCAACCGTTCCGTCTGTTCCTGCTTAAGGCACTTCTGTCTGTGGCCAGGGACCCCGATATTGATTTCATTGAGCTCCTGGTGTCGGGGGTTCCTTTGGGAGTGGATGAGCCCATGCCGCCCTGTCCGTCCCTGTTTCCTGCACCGCCTGCCCCTGAACCGGATGTGGATTTATTGCACTGCGAGTCCTCCTGGGGCTCTGCCTTGTCTGACCCGGCTACTGTTGACCGCCTCTTACAGGTGGAAGTTTCGGAAGGCTGGATTGCCGAGGTTCCGGGTGGTCTTTCCGCTCTCAAAAGAAAGTACGGCCAGTCTGCTGTCGGTAAACTTGGCTTGGTTAAAGCTCCGGACCGCGACCCACGCCTGGTTGTGGACAGCAGCGTCTCTGGCGTCACCGCGCACACGCGCCTCCCAAATAAGTCGGCCAACCCTACCATTACTGGCCTCCGCCGTTGCCTTCCGTCCCGCACCTGCCTGGAGCGGCTTTTTGCACTCATTCTGGACGTCAGCAAGGCGCACCGGCGAATCCTCATCCGCCCCTCTGACCGTCGACTTCTTTGTTTCTTTCGCCGCCGGAAACTTTATCAATGCCTCACGTTGAATTTCGGCGCCAGAGCTTCCGGGTATTACTGGGCGCGCGTTGCCGGCCTTCTGTCCCGCCTTCTGCACCGTCTGCTTTTCGTCCGGCACGCCCTCCTTATCTATGTCGATGACTTAATTTGTCTGTTTTCCGGCCCTTCTGCCCCGGTCTGGGCCGCCCTCATGTGCGTACTGCTTCTTCTGCTCCGCGTGCCTATGAGTTGGCATAAGGCCTACCTAGGCTGCCGCCCGGCCTGGATCGGCTGGTCCATGGATCTGAATTGCATGACGGCTACGCTTGAGGCTCCGAAGCTCATCCGCCTAGGTGACCTACTTTCCGTTGTCATCCGATCGGACTCCGTACCACTGCACCTCCTCCGGAAGTTGACGGGAAAACTTCTTTGGGTTTGCTCCCTTTTCCGTCCCTTCCGTCCCTCTTTGGGCCCCCTTTACAGGGATCAAGGACTTCCGCCGCTGGTTCATGTTGCTGTTTCCCCCGACCTCTGGGCTTCCTTCCGGTCGGCCCTTTCCAACGAACTCTCCTTGCAACGAGAGGTTGGCCTTTGCAGCTGTCCGAAGGGTTGCACCCTTGTTTCGGTGGGACGCCTGAAGCCCACTCGTCTATCCGAGGTCCCCTTCGCTTTCCCCGGGGAACGCCGCACTTGGATTTCCGTCCGCATGCCACCGGATAGCGATCGCAAGCTTTCATCTGAGTCGCGGGAAATTCTTCGCATGTGGCAGTCACGTCTCTCCGGTGACGCACCCACGTTTACTCTGGCACTTGCCCCGCTCCTTTTTTGTGAAGCTTTCGCCGATGCCTGTGCCGATGCTCGGACCGCTGGGATTGGTGGTTATGTTCGGCTGGTGTCTGGCCGTTGCGTCTGGTTCCGCCACACGTTTTCTGCTTCGGAGCTCTCCTCGCTCTTTTCCTGGTTTGAGGTTTCCTCTGCTCCGCAGAAATTTATCGCTGCCTGGGAGTTGTTTGGCCAATTGGCGCTCCTGTGGTGTGTGGCCCTGCTCGTTCCGGCCGGTCACCCTCCCGTTCATTTCATTAGCAGGTGTGACAACGCCCCGTCCGACTCCGCTTCATGGAAGGGGTTGTCCACTGCGCGTGGACTCTGCTCATTGCTCCGTACCTACTTTGCGTGGCAACGGCATTTTTGCGTTTCCACGTACATTGACCATGTTCCTGGATTCCGGAACAAGGTTGCCGATGGCCTCAGCCGTTCCGCCCTTCCGTCTGACCTGGGCTTGAACGAACAGGATGAGGTTTTGATCCCGTGGGAATTGTTGGCTGCCCCACCTCGCCCACTTTACCATCCTGGTTCCGCGCTGTCGGCTTCAATCTTTCCGGCTGCTGTGCCTGACTAGTGGTGTCCTTTTTCTCCGCGGCTTGAGTTCTGACTTTGGCTGGGTTTCCCCCTGCGGGTACTCTTCTTCCCGGCTCCGAGTTCTTCCTGTGGCCGTATACCCAGCAAAGCCTTTCCCGTCGGTCGGCCAGATGGCTCAGGCCCTCCGCACCGCCGACCGACCGTATTTCATGCCGTAGCAGTTCCACGGTTCACCGGTCCGAAATCCGGCAGGTGATTCCGGACTTACCGCTCCGGCAATAGCCATCGGAAAAAGGATGTGCGCCTCCGCATCGCTGCTTTAGCTAATCGGATTCTACTCCGGCCACACCGCACGTAACGGACTAGTGATTCCGGCCGAACGGTTTCTCGACATGTCGTATGCTGTTTGTCCGGAATCTCGCAACGGCAAGGGTACATACCGTAGCCGTGCATCTCAAGCACTCCGTTCCGTGTCAGACGGTGTGCCAGGATTTTCTTTTCCCGCCTCCGTCCCCATTTCTCCACCCGTCCTTCTGGAATTTCTTCCACTTTGGACTTTTCTTGCCTGGTGGATTTCTCTTGGACTTTGTGTGTATATAGCTTCTTAGGCCGGCCGTATACCCAGCAAAGCCTTTCCCGTCGGTCGGCCAGATGGCTCAGGCCCTCCGCACCGCCGACCGACCGTATTTCATGCCGTAGCAGTTCCACGGTTCACCGGTCCGAAATCCGGCAGGTGATTCCGGACTTACCGCTCCGGCAATAGCCATCGGAAAAAGGATGTACGCCTCCGCATCGCTGCTTTAGCTAATCGGATTCTACTCCGGCCACACCGCACGTAACGGACTAGTGATTCCGGCCGAACGCTGTCGGTTTGTGCGGGTTTGGGTTGTGTTCCACAAGTTGTAGCTGATGGATGCTGATGGATCGTTCTGCATTGGTGAGTGCTTTCCGACTTGCCGCACGGAAGGCACGTTCAGAAGCGAATTTTGGCGATCCTGGAACAATTGCTACTCCACTGGCGTGAGCTCTGCTCCGCGCAGCTGTGGCGAAGGCCGGCTTGGGAGTACGGCGTAGCCTGTCTCGCATCTCGGATTCTTCGGCTGAGATGCCGGATGCCTCGCCTGCGCCCGAGTTCTTATCATCCCGGCCCGTAAACTCCGGACGACACGCGACACCCCTTTAGCTCCCATCATCCGTCTTTTGTCAGGACCCGTCTAGAAGAGCGGCTGATGAAGCGCCGGCTCCGTCCTCTGCTGGGTGCCTGGCAGTGGCACGTCCTCGCCGAGGCGTGCCTGAGGGCGAGGCGCGGGGATGCGGGGCTTTCGGCACACTTTCAAGCTGGAGTTATCAGTGGTATTCAATGGTCCTCAACTGATCACAGAGAGGATTTCGCTGCATGTGACGCTCGCAAGTCACATTGGCATCGCCAGCCTCAGGGCCTCCCATCGCAGCCAAGCTCTGGTGCTACAGAGCTTCGGAAGTTGGCTGCGGAGTACGGCACGTGTGCGCCGGTGTCGCCAAATGGAGGCAGCGAAGGTTTGAGAAGGTTTGAGGCGGGGCTTGTCGGCTCGTATGGGTGCGCTTGAGTCCTTTCATGTTTCAATATTTCTTTCCGGGCTTTGGTTTGCAGATTCGGTTTTTCACGAAGACTCACGAGCAGGCGCAGTACTTTCGCGATAATGCCGCATTGTGAGAGACCACTTCCATGCTTATCTGAAAGCCTGAGGTGCAGCAGCGCCTGGAGGCTGTGCCCGTCCTGCACGAAACTTGGCGCGTTTGGCACCTCCAGCAGGGACGTGCCTCGGATGGTCTTGCAAGTCTGCAAGGTTGTTTTAACAATGTTTTCCTTGCTGTTGGTACATCGCATTATGCATTGGCATTGCGACATCTCGATCTCAAGGCGGTCATGCTGCCCGCCTGCACTGGCGGCGTGCTTACCTGCAGGTGCAAGTTGAGGCCACACAGCGCAGCCGCTTGTGCAGCATACAACCTGCTTCAGACGGTCTTCCCGGCCGTGTTTTGGGAAATTCATATTGCTTCTCAAATTCGCTTTATCTTGCAGATCCTTTTCGCTTGGCGGTTTCAGATGCTGGAACTCACTGGCCAAGCGTATGCCAGAATCTAAAACCTGAGCAGAGGACTGAAGACGCTCTGAGTTTTCCACCGAACGCATTGTATGTGAGCCCCCCTGAAACCTCCTGTTGCACGGAGAGACAAAAAGAGAAGCATGCAGCCGCTCTCGGCTTCTTGTTTTTCAGCTCCGGTGAACTCCAGTCTTGTCCAGCAAGGCGACGTCTGCCCCGTGCGATCCCGTGCGATCAGGTCTCAAGCTCCAAAAGCTCGCTTGGAAGTGCTGGCGAGAAAGTGCCGCTATCACCAGGGCCCCGCTATCGAAGTTTCGAAGGAGGCGTGCTGCGTGCTTCTGCGCGGCTGTGCTGCGTGCGTGGCGAGGCGTGGAGTTGAGCTGCGGTTGCTTTGATTGCAGCATGCTCTGTCACTGAGCCGGACTGAATGAAGTGCAGTATGAAGTGTCCAGGTCAAAGCCGTCATGAGACCCTGGCAGACGAAGCTGGGGAAGATGTGGAGGCTTCAGACTGCCTGGAAGTCTCTGCGAGCACGGCAGAGGCCACAGAGGCCAACATCACCTTGCGAGATTTCCACCCTGAGACCGGCTGTGAGATCAGTGCCTTCGAGATCTCCACCAGCCTCTCGGAGATCCGGGTGGTTTCTCCCACGGCCAGCGACTCGAAGCACTCGGACAAGGCGAGAGAGCCCGCGGATCCCGCGGCTCTCGAGCTTGAGGTCCTTGAGACCGGCCTCCCTCCGGTGCCCCCCTGGCCCAAGCAACCCGTGGAGGCCTCAACTCCGCTCCGATCCATCTTGCGTTCTGTACCTTCGCCATCGAGATCTCGCTCTGCCTCCTTGGCATCCGATTCGCAGCAAGGTACACCGGAAGCAGACAGCTCAAACAGCGTCCGCATCGGCAACTTGGGCGCCGTGCCGCAGTGGCCCTGCGCTGCGATGCAGCAGGCGGCCAAATCTCAGCGACGTGCCAGTCAGACGGAATCTCGACCGGCAAGAGCTTATAATTATGATGTTCAAGAGTCTCGTTGTTGATTTTGGGACGGCCTTGCCCGAAAACTGCGCCGTTATCCGCAGGGCATTCTCCGCAGATGCGCACTGGTTCTGGCCATGAAGCACTGGCAGGCGCTACTTGCCTGAGCTTGGCTTTCGGATGTTTTCGGGTTCTCTGTGGGATTTGCTGTGGTAGATTGGAAACACTTTGCGTAGTTCCAGCTCAGCTTGGGCGAGGCTCGATGCTACTGTTGTAGATGCCCGGCTTCCGGCAGAGTCTCGCAACCGAGGTTTCGAAGAGGTTGCTGTCAACTTCGCTTGGCTTTGCGGGCAACTTGCCTCCACCTCATTCCGGCGCAGAGACTGTTATTGGAACGAATCTGCGTACTACCGTGGCTGTGACTCTGGAGGATCCAAAGCCGAGGACAGGAAACTCCCAGCCCCACATCTTCACAAACGAACCATATGGGGCCAAGGCCTGGCGGACGGAGCTCCAATACGGGAGAGACGCACGCCCAGGCCGCTGGTCACTTCAATTCAGTTCACATGCCCCAAAACTCCACACTGTGTGGTCCGTCCGTCGTCGTCCGCGATCCTCCCTAAAGCCTTAGAAAGGCCGCGCTTTTCACGACGACCGGCTTCTCTGCCGGGCCTTCCGCTGCCTCCGCCCGGCAAAACCGAAGCCGTCGGCAGAGCTCCGGCGGCACCTGGCTCTGCAGGAGGCGCTTCGGTGCCTTGGACCCTGGAAGAGGGAAGGTCTTAGCTCTGTCTTTTACCTCCGGAGGCTGAAGGGAGATCGGGATTGTCACACAGGGTCTCCTCGTGAACTTTTGTGGCCGAGCCTTTGGAAGGGCTTTCGTGTTTGCGGAGGGTTGGAGTTGTGTTCTACAGCGGCCGGGGCGGAGGGCTTCTAGCCTCGGCATCAGATAGAGCAGCGAAGGCGCAAGGCTCTCGAAATGTCACTCTTGAGCTTGTTGCGGCACAAGTGTGCTTACAGAACCCACTGTTGGACGGGTGCATCGACTGCAAGCCCCTTGTTTCCATCAAGTTGTTGGAGGCACGAAACCTCGTCCACGTATCCAGAGGTAGAGCCACGATTTATTCCGCAGCGAGGCTCCAGTCCGTCCTTCGCCGTTGGCGCCAGCGCTGTGAAGACGTCGCCGGCTCAGCCCCAGCTGTTGGCTTTGGAACAAAGGGGAGGTTTGCTGGTATGGTCATGGTGTTGGGAGAGTCGTGCCTTCTCGTCAACCTTCCCCCGCTGGCGCATGTTTCGTGAACAGCCTCGCCGAATCGGCAAAGCTCAAGCGAACTGCGGCATGGGTGCAGTGCAGGTGCAGCGTGCGGGCACAGTTCTCCGGGCCGCGGCTTCGAAGTGGCTCGAAGCGCTGAATGCTACTCTACCATCATGTGACTGCCCGACCTACAGCACATGCCGAGGTGGCGCCTTGGGCTTTGCTGGATCCAATGGTGTGAGCTTGCTCGAGGGGCAGAGAAACCACCTGCAGTCTCATGGGAGATCTCTGCAATTTCGACAGCGCCTGGCCTGCAATTGCGGTCTTGTGAATTCCTTCACTCGCCAGTCTTGTGCAGAGTCTGCGAGGAGATATAGAGGTGACAGGTCCCTCCCAAGGATTTCTGTGACTAGATGTGCTTTGTCGCGCCTTTGGAGCGCCATATGCAACCCGAATCACTATGTCCGTGACCCTCCCACGAATTCGCCTACAGCCTTCTGCTGCCTCCTCGAATTCAGCGCAGCAAGTCCTCAAGCTTGAGAAAGTCTGCACCCTGGAACATGCCAGTACGATTCGCTGCAGATACAGGCTTAGAAGTAGGATTCGCTCCAGATGCAGGTTCGGAACGGGTTTGGAACATATCGAGGAATGGCAATGTTTTTAAATGTCATGCCCCGCTCTTAGAACTCGAAAGCTGCCATTGATTTCCTGGGCCATGACCCTGGACACACACAATCATTCTGAACAGTTGTGCAAAGACAGTCACAGCGAAAACCTTTCGAAGTGAACAGCAACCCCTCAACCGCGCCAGCCAAAATCGTGCACCTCCTAGGTCCTAACGTTAACATTATCTCGGCAAGCCTCACTCCCTGAAGCTGAATGCATTCGCGGCACCGCAACTCGATCTTTGAAGAAAGGACTCGGGCTCGGCTTTGGAGCGCAGCCGTGCCTCTCAGCGATCCGAGGGTCGCTCGGTTGAGTCTCAGAGGTCTTTCTTGGGGGCCTAAGTAAGCCCAAAACCCTATTCCAACTATTAAGGCCCCTACAGCACGTGGCAGTCCTTGCAGCAGAAGAGACGGAGGGGACAGCAAACACCGCGACACCGAACGCTGTGTGACGGGCAGTCTCAGCGAAACTGGCAGTAGTTGTAATAATTGTAGTCTGGCCGTAAGAAGGTCATCAGCTACAGACCGCAAACTCCAAAGCATGACTGAAGCACAGAAAGCAGATTCCCGACGCATTGGTCGGTCCCTGCTTGGTAGAACAAAACCTAACTTGCGAAGCAGGGCTGAATCTTGTTGGATCTGCTGTTGAAAGGACTGGGGCGTGGGAGCAGCTGCTCGGAGCTTTTTGTGGAAACGCGGATGCGTCAAGTGCGTCCTGTCTCCGACAGAACATGAGAGAAAGACGAACAACTTTTTTTTGGTGCCTGGGGAAATAGTTGTATGGGGGAATGACGAGAGATGTCCATGATTGCAGGGTCTCGACTTGCCATGACTTGCCCACTAAAGCTGCTGTGCCACCGTTTGAGTGATCCTTTAACAGCCCGCGACGACGACTGCGATGGTTGCCAAGCGCCCAGGTCGCGCGTCGCTGCCGGGCTGCGGCTGCGGGCCGCTGCGGAGGCGCGGCACGCAGCGGTGCAGCTCCTCCGTGCTTGGAGCCAGGCCGAGCGCCGACAGTGTTCTAGGTTTCAGGCACCGGCATGGTGGTGATTTCAGGTTCTTACCAACTGAAAGTGTCAGAGCAGGATGGTGCAGAAGAACGCTTGCCAGTCCGCGTCACGGCGTTCAGCATTCAAGGAGTGGGATGAAGAGTAGCTGGCAGCTCTCAGCACCCATCCAGCGTGAGCCTCGCCATGCTCCGCAGTCGGCACTGTCTCCGGCAGGTCTTGAGGGCGAAGCGATTCGACATGCGAAAGGCAGCACGCCAGCGGAAGGCGCAATGGGGCAGACTGATGCTGTCTCTGGGAGTTTGAGGTCCGGTCTCGTGCTTTGGGAGGTATGGAGAGCTATTGAAAGCAGGGAGTTTTCTATGTTTAGGGAGCTGTTAAGGATACAGATCTGAGGGGTTGGACAATCGGAAGGGCCGTCCGGCCGCCGAGGATGCCCTGCATTCTTTCCTCTGCTGGCAATCCGCCACTCGTTTGCTTCGCCGACTGCGCCGCCTCACGTTGGAGCGCAGGCTGGGTGAAGGAGGCAAAATTTGAGGTTGTGAGATGTGGGGCAGGAACTTGACAAGGACGGTGCGCCAAGGGGTTGTTGTAAAGTACTTCTAACTAGGTAGGTTCTGTGGTTTTGAACTGCGTCGCAAACTTGTCCGGTTCAACTAGCGAAATCAACTTGTCTTCTCATGGAAGTAGCCACGTGAGGGTCCCATGTCTGCAGGTACCTCCTGCTCAAAGAAAGCTTTACCACTTGGTGGCAGCGGCGCGGGTGGCGCTTGGCCGTGAGTCAGCTGTGGCATGCGGCGGAACAGCGCGTCCTGAGGAAGGCAGATCTCCGCAGGCTTCAATTGCGGATGTCGCAGCATCTGCATATGTAACTCAAGCCCTAGAGCGACACTGCGCGAAGAAGGCATCAGTGCATAGTGGCAAAATCGGTTCTACAATACTGTGCATCTACTTCTAATAATAAAATAATATTTCTGAGCAAGTCAACACAATCGTGACGATTCCATGTCTTGACTTTCCGGCTGGATCCCAACCGTGGGTGGCACATCCTTGTTTGGGAACTGTCGTGCTTCGTGTGCTTCATGCAGGGGTGGCACCACGACACTTCCAAAGAGAAGCCACTAAGTTCAAAGGTTCACCGCTCGTCTCTCTCACTGACAGGCGGCATGCTGCTGGCGTCAGCATTTTCTTGCAGGCTTGTTTTTGCAACGCATCAGTCATCAGGCTAAGGTTTCGCGGCATGTTCGTGTTCGCCAGGACAGCTTCGCCTGAGCGGCTTCCTCGCGGTTGAGAGGAAGGCGGCCGGCTGGAAGGCCTGGTGCCTTGCAGCCCGGTGCCCGGGGGAATCCAAGAGCGCAAGTGAGCCGGCGTGGTTTCAATGCCATACAGTACAGCTCAGAGCAAAATTCGAATTTGGAGGTTGGGGTCTGAATGTTAGGTCCCCAAAGCACGCTTGAGAGCTTGAAGCCGCCATGAGACGGCAGGGTCTGCGATAAGGTTCGCATCTTGCGTGGGAAGCGCCGGGCCGAACGGCTGTTCTTCTTCTGGCCGCTCAACCGAAACTAGACGTGGGGATTGATTCGAGGATGGATCCAACGAAAGTAGTTGTTTGTACAGTCACCTCTACAACATCTTCGTTTCGTCCCAAGAAGAGCTTTTACCTCCGTTCCAAGAGCATCTCAGGCGTGCGAAGCTGCAGGCGGCCGGGGCCCAGATGTCACAGCCTTCGTTGCATTTCCTACGCTGTTCATCAGTGCGGTGTCTGTATGTCGACTTCGAGTGCGACATTCCTGGCAGAAGCTATGAGGAGTGTACCAAGTTCTGAAACCTGTAGATCCGAAGGTAGGAACTATCTGCCAAGCTGTTCAAGTTTTCCGAATTCGCAAATATTTGGCTCGTGTCTAAGTAAAGAGAGGTGATGACGCGATCCAAGGCAAGAAGCGTCAGGCATGCACAACTCAAAGCATCTATACAGTTATACTAACGATATCAAACGATTGTGGGTCGCATCCGTGTGCGTGCAAACACGCATGCAACCTGCGCGTACACTTGTGTGTGCATATCATACATAAGCGCATAGATACATGCGTACACATGCACAGAGAAAGCAAGCACTTGCCGGCATGCTCTCCATTGCTTGCACCTGGAAGTACTCAAGCTTGACACCACCGGTGCAATTAATCCAAGGCCCGCCGGCGCAAGTTGCGACGCTGCGTCCGCGTCTGGGTCGGGTGCAGCCGTGGCCGTGGCGCTCTCGCCAGGCTTGTGCCTAAATGCGGTGGTGGCTTAATTGTCTTGCTTGGGTTTTGAGTTAAGGGACAAGGCATTGTAGTGGCTTGCAGGCTTCAGCACTACATGGGTTGCTCATGGGAATTTTACATGGTGACATCATGTGACATCAACAGTGACCAAAGGCTTCTCGATCCATGCTTCCAAGGCACTTATCCCGGTTTATGCCAATGCTTTGTTTGCCAAGACAGCCCGTCGAAAGCGTCTGGGGTCCAGGTCGGCCTTTCGCTCCTGGCGCGCACTCTTCTGTGGAGCCCAGTCTTGCGCTGAGACTTTCGTCGGGTACACCGCATCTCAAAGCTAATGCTTAGGCCTTAGGATGAGAAACGTCGCAGGCAGCGCAGACTGGAGCTCTGCTATGAGGGATGGCGGCGGCATCACCAGGTCCGATGGGGTTGCCAGAGCCACTGTGGTTGCTGGCCGGATGGTCACCGCAGCAACAGCGTTGAGCAACAGCTATCTTATGCAGTACATGGTGCATGCCTGACTTGCTGGACTCACCGTTCTGGCCCCTGCTGCGAAGCATGTTTGGACACTCTTCATTCGGAGCATTCTGAGGGTATTCGGAAGATCCGCCAACCTTGGGAGGCCTTCAAGCAAGCCAGCGCGATGGCACTACTCACAAGGTGACTTTTGGGATGGTGAAGGTAGACACGCTTGTTCTGTTCCGCGACAATGCTCTGAGACTGTGAGACGAAAATGTTCGGACGGTAGCTTAGCTGCGCAAGGCTTCATCATGGCATCTCCCCTGTCTCTGGCAGAGGACGATGCAGTGCCATGTGGCGTGGAAGGCATGGCGGCGGCTGCTGCGTCTGCAGCCAAGTCGAAGCAGTCCGGGCGGCCTCTAAAGGGGAGCCCTACCTCATCGAGGCCTCCGTGATGCCTGGAACGCAGCTCGGGAGCTGCGTGGGGGCACCCGTGCGCGCCAGGCTCGTGTCTATTCTAGCAATGGTGATGTGGCACATTCGGACTGCAGTCTAGCAGGTTGTGAGTGTGGGAAGGTCAAAGTCAGGTCAGGCCAAGTCATCATGCTTGGCTTGAGCTCTACATATGTTCTACGATGCGTGATTCGAGAGGATGGCGTGGAGGCACACATGCGTGGATGTCGCAAAACTGCCAGGCTTTTGCTTCATGGCACCGTGCGTTGCGGCACCAAGCAATCTGCTGCTGGCCTGCGAAGCTTTGAGCCATAAAGACGGGCTCCCGCCCGACCCAGGCAAGCTCTGACCCTGTGCTCCCTGCCACCAAGTCTCATCAAGGTTGCTTGGAGAAGAAGCAGCTCGGGCATGCTTCTTTGCAACTATGGCGGTGTGCCGCCGGGAGCCTGGTGTCTCTGGTCGAGGGGAGACGGTAGTCGCAGCTTTGAGGACTTAAGCCCAAAACGAGCTTACTTGTGTGAGTACTGGTTCGGGTACGCAGCAGCAAGTTGTAAGGGTAATGTACTGCACAGATTCCGAAGCTGGTATCCAAGTCGGTTCGAAGCCACTGCAAGCTGCCAGGTTTCGAAACTGAGCAAGCTCGTGTAGCTGCAGTTGACATCGCGAGTTGCTTTCGCCAGTCGTCCCTGATAATTCCTGTGCTGGCAGTGTTCCGGGTGATTTTGTTGTGCTGTTGTGCCGCACAGCGGCCGAGCTAATTCAAAGAGCAGAGCAGTTAGATCCCTGAGTGAGGGAGAGCTAGGTTGACCCCTTTGCATCTGCTGATTTGTGTAGCTTCTGACACTTCATTGAAACGGCCCCCTTGCTATGCAATGTCCTTTCCCCCGAGGCCCATGTGGAACATCGAGAACGGGCAATCATGCCCGCAGCTCTGGCATCCTGGATCGCTGCAGTCCGCAGGGTGGGAGCCTCGTGCCAAGCACTGTCAGGTCTTCGTCGTGCATAGAGTCGCATAGAGCGCAGAGGACGTTTGATTTCTTGGCTGATACAAGTACTTGCGGTTTCAGGTTCGTTGGAGGCTCTTTCGCAGGAAGACCTAATATGTCAGGTGCAAACGGGGCGGCTCGGCCTGAGTCTCCGTTCCTGGCGAAACTGGACCTGGTCAAGAAGCAAGCTGAGGCCTTGGGAAGAGATGGAGACGGGAGAAGGTGTACCGGTGGTACAAGTGACGAAAGTCGTGCTGATCCGAGCAGCAGGTCCCATCTTCAGCTTTGGGATCTCTTCCGGACGAAGTCGAGGTTGGGCTTCGGGGCTTCGGGAGTCGACATGAAGCTTGGATGATTGGTTTCGGTGAGGCTGCATGTTCGGGATACCGCAGCCTGAACTGTCATGGTCTTCAGCCAGGTTGATATGGTCGAGACTGACGGTATGTGTATCACATCTATTGCAAGTTCTGAATCTGTGAGGCAGCAGCGCCTGTCTCTTCGACTGCGTCGATGGAGCTTCCTCGCGAAGGCTCCAGCACATCTCAGACCCTGTGCTCCTGAACTCAGCTTGCCACTTCGAGGCCGGAGCGTCGGACCGCCGGCACCTCGCCTGGGGCCTCGGGAACTCTTCGAGCTTTTTCTTGTTAATCAGCAAGTCTAGAGATCTTGACAGCAGTGTGCTGATTGCCTTCGCGCAGCCTGAGTCGGCAGCTAACCTGCCTAGGCTGCCTAGGTTCTGAACTTCAGAGCCAGCGCGCACAGTTCGTTAATGTCACTTAGCCTCGTCCCAACCTTCATGCATGCCTGGAGAGCTGCTGTACCAGCCAATCCTCTCCGCCAAAACAGGTACAGCTGCTGAACGCCTGGGTGCGTGAGTTTGGGCTCCCAGCGGTCTGTGGCTCCAACTCCGGGTCCCGAAAATCCGCACGGGAGGGAGGGGCCCTCTACAGGCTCGCGATTTCACGGCCTTCCCAACAATTGGAGGGTCTTTGCTTCACTGAGCCTGGGCATCGCCCCAAGCCTTCTGGTTGCCTTCCCCTGGCTCGATCATTTCTGGTGAGGTGTTCGCTGACAGCGGGCCTGGTACGCGAGACCTCGCTGCGGCGCTTGCTCCTTGCATGGCGCTGTGTCCGGCACTTAGATTTCGGTGCTGAATGTATCTTGATAAGAGGGCGCAGGCAGTCTGGGAGGACAGCTCATCCGTGCAGCTGTGAGCCAACATCGAGCTCTCTTGGGGTAGGACCCCCGAAGCAGAATGGTCGACGTGATGGCACCGGCAGAGCCGCTTGCCGCCACACTGGCGGCATCGCCCATCGACATGGGACACCAGGCGGGCGAGCTTGGGATGCTTGGGCAACCCTTCGGTAAATGAGATCTCGAGAGGGGGCATGGACGCACGAGCAAGATCCGATCTCGGTAGGAGATGGCCCAGTTCGTGAATGAGCTCGAAGACATTTTTCAGGCCATTCACGCTGGCATCCGCTGCTCGTCATGCAGCTGGTGCAGCCACCGCCATCACAAGTCGTAAATCGAAGTGAACATCGAACTTGGCAGATGTCCTCGTGTTTATTGTTCTCTGACCGCGCCCAATTGAGGCTGACGTTGTGACTCGCGATCCGTGACCAGTTGTTGTGTTGCCTTACCGGCCTACTTGTACCGGTGGATTCAGGAGAAGACTACGCCGTGGCGTTGTCCGCCATCACCTGCAACCTCTGTGTCAGCTTGGGCTACGAGGACGAGGATGAACTCGAAGAGGTTGGGTCACCCTGTAAGATCTGCAGTGTAGCAGCGACTCCAGCTGCCTTTGAAGCTTGAGCTCGAACTCAAACCCAGCCTCCAGCCTTGATCACACGAATCTGGTGTCCTCAGCGTAATCGGAGAGTGCGACTCGTGAATGTTGGAGGCGTTGGGTGGCCCCCTCGTGCAATTTCTGGAAGCATTGCTTCTCGACCAGCTTTAATACGAGATGACAACTTGACAATCTGCAAAGTGCTTTGCATGCGCAAAGCAGCTAAGCAGATGGGCCTGGTGAGACATGCTAAGATTGACAAACCGATAGCTTTTTGTTTCCTTCTCTCCAACCCCAATTAATTAACCATTCTTCATATTGCGACAGTCGAGGCCCCATTTCGAGGTGCAGCGGCCTGACGAGGATGCCGAGGACATTGGGGTCGACGAGGAACTCTATTATTGTTGATTTTGCAAGATGAATGGCACACTGAAGCAGTAGAGTAGCAGTAGAAGTAGCAGTAGAAGTAGAAGTAGCAGTAGCAGTAGAAGCAGCAGTAGAAGTAGTAGTACTAGTAGTAGTAGCAGTAGTAGTAGTAGTAGTAGTAGTGGTGGTAGTGGTAGTAGTAGTAATAATAATAATAACAATAATAATAATAATGTAGTAGTAGTAGTAGTAGTAGTAGTAGTAGCAGTAGCAGTAGCAGTAGCAGTAGCAGTAGCAGTAGCAGTCGTCGGAGCAGTAGTAGGAGTAAGAGTAGGAGTAGTCGTCGTCGTCGTCGTCGTCGTCGCATTAGCAGTGCAGTAGCAGTTGTAGTACGAGGAGGAGGACGAGGATTGGGAGTCTTGAGTAGCAGTATGCTGCTGCTGCCGGCGCTGCTACGACGACGCCGACGGCTACTATTACTATCACAGCTCGTCGTGATACAGTTGCATCGTAGCACGGCATCAACATCAACATCCAGAGTTCTCTGCAGGATTCAGAGATCCGTGTCCTTATGAGACCGGTGCCGAAGGAGGATGATCTCCGGAGACTTGGCAGGTTTGGTAAGGCCACAGTAGCTAGGATTGTAACAGTTTTGTTTTGCTCCGGTTGCATTCCGGTATCTACAGGAGCCAGCACTGCTACCGGCGTCGGTGCTTGCACTAATGTAAGACCAGGGTAAAAGGATGAAGGCTGTCATGACAATTCAGACCACTGATTTGCTGTGCGCCTGTGTTTGGTGTTCAAACCGCCTGCATCGAGGCCAGGCATGGGCCAGTCCCTCACCTTCCCGGTCTCGGAGCGCCTCCGGGGGCGGTTCCTGGTTCTGGAACCAGATGCTGTGCAAAGGTTCCGTAGCCAAAGCCTTATGCCTTCCTTTGTTGCGCCTGCAGATATGACTGTGACTGAAAACACAGACCTGTGGCAAGCACCAGCAATCCAACCCAAGCACCGGGCTGGATTTGAAGTGTCCCAGCAGGTCTTGCCTCGTCCGGCCTGCAAAGCAGGGTCCTTTCATCCTATTGATCCTCCCTTTATGCTCCTAATTAGGCAAGTCTAGGGACAAAAACAGCTCCTCGTCCTCCTCCTTTCCTCAGCTCGAATCCAATGCCCCCAGACCCATGCCCGCGAGAGGAGCGCGAAGACCTCTGGCGGGTCGTGCTGCTCGGGCCACGGGCGCAGGCAAGACGGGATCCGTTGCAAAATCAGAAACTGGGCCTTGAGTCAGTAGCTGCGCATCAGAAACCGCCGTACATCAGAAACTGTGCATCAGCAACCAGCGCGCATCAGAAACCGGCGCACCAGAAACCAGCGCGTATCAGAAACTGGAGTTTGGAAACTG